CAAAAACTTCATAACGGTCTTTTAACGTGTAATAAATAGTTTTTTATTAAACAAGAGTGATATAAAAACGTAATTGATACATGGAGGTGGAAATGATGCATAACGTAGAGCTACTACACCGCTGCTACGGATCATGCTACGAAAAACAAAAACACAATTGTTTCGTAGCCCATAGGAACTTTAATGTGATTCAGTAAATCAAAAAAAAAACTTTGGCCACCTGGATACTACATTGTGATGACTAATATAATGTAATTTTAATTAGAATGTAAGTAAATTAAAGTGAAAGGACACATATTAATTTTAACAAAACTGAATTTACCTATTGCAAAAAAATATATGTTGCTACATATGTATATGAAACCATTTTCAGTGATTTATGTTGTTACCGAGAATGGACTACATCATTTTATTATGCACATTACTCAGAACACATTTCCTTGAAGTTACACAATCATACTTAGAAACTTCTTCAGTTATCTTTCCATGAAACCTGGTGTCGTAACATAGACTTTGCGATGCTTTAGCGAAATTGAAAAAATTGTGTTTTATGATTTTAGCCTATAAATCTGTACCACAAGTCCAAAATATTTAAAATAAGAAAACAAAAACACCACAACAAATGCACAAATCGGATACCAAGAGTAATAATTGCTTATTTATGCGTGTGTGTTTGTTCATGCCTGTGTGTTTACCTGCGTGCGTTTTGTATCAAACTTTTGATTAAACATGCAAATTAAACTAAAGTAGTAACAAGTTCTATTCATTTTATCATAGCTATGCTAGAAGAATGTAACTTTTTTTAAGATCGCCGCTCTAGCAGTTTGGTCATTCTTTCTTTTTTTTTCTTTTTTTTAAGTTAACCTGTATGAACCGTGTGGTGACGGATTAAGAATACAGAATGTCACCACCCCTATTCATCCCGTGGGTGTCGTAAGAACCGACTAAGAGATTACTCTCTACTACGCAGGACAACAGCACTGCAAGAAGAAGGAAAACTTGAAACAAACCCTACACCAACCCGTCTGGCCAGCGTGGTATACTAGGCCGATACTTCCTTTCTAAGGAGAGACCTATGTCTAGCAGTGGGCTATTAAAGGCTGTTGATGATGATGATAACGTATGAAAAATCTTGGAGATCTGTCATACAGGTTTTGAGCCTAGTATAGACTCCAGCTCTCTTTTGGGAACTTTATATTATTTATTTTAATGTATGAAATTCGATGCTCTAAAACCTAATGTACCTTATGAGAGAAATAAATGAAACAATAATAAGGATTCCGAGCCCTGTATAAATGTTCTCATGCAAAGTAAAATATTTTTTCATGATCAAATGATCTCTCTTTTTCATGTAAAAATCTCCATACAACGAGAAGGTGTTTTTTTTTCTAAAAGAATATATCAAATAAAATAGTCTTCAGTATCTCAAGGCTTATGAGGCCGTTATAGACGGTGTATACTGTGTTTTTTCTGAGGGGTGTGTTTTGTTTGTAGGTGTGGAACACGATACTTTAATTAACTTCATCCTTAATTACTAGGGATTTTACCTTTTAATCTTTTTTACTACATAGTGGATTTTAATAACCAAAATTAGGATAATCATTAAAAATATAACCTTAAAAAACGTGTTTAATAAAAAAAATGACCTTGACACACGTGGAGAAAAAACAGCTTAGTTAGTTGGTGGAGATAATCCAATCAGCTCAATATCTAAGGATTCTATCACTCTTTCCCCAACATCAAATCAGCTCCAAAATGCCAATTTATAGTATAACTATGTAAATTACAAATACATACAAAGTTTCATTACGATACGGCAGTTGGAAGTAGGTTTAATTGAATTGATAACATTTGTTACGAGTGAAGCTAACAAAACCCTTTTTAAAAGATTACCAAGTCTCCAATCGTTCCATATATATGTGTCTCTTTGATCTGCAATGCAATATCTTAGGGGGGCTATTCATCGGGCACGCCGTCATCGCGGCGGTAAGACCCGTTATGGAGGATTGGCTCGAGAGGCGTCACGGGACCCTCTCATACCAACTGACGCAGGTGATCACTGGGAAAGGATGTTTCGGGGATCACCTGTGCCTGATCCGCAACTAGCCAACGCCTGAGTGCCACCACTGCGATGGCCAGACCGTGGACACGGCTCTCCACACGCTGGCAGAGTGCCCGGCGTGGGTTGAGCAGAGGCGAGACTTCGTGGCGGCCATCGGAGTGGGAGTTCTCTCGCTCGATAGCCTGATTGCGGCTATCGTGCGGAGCGAGAGTGCGTGGAACTCTGCCGTCTCCTTCTGCGAGCAAGTTATGCTCGCGAAGGAGACGGCGGAGCGGGACCGGGAGAGGTTTAGGACTCTCCCGGCCCGCCAGGCCCGGGAACGGGCCAGGTACCGCAGGCGACTCCGGCGCCGGAGGTCGCAGAACGACCTCCGTCCTCCATAAGCGCAGGCCTGGGGGTGACAGGTGGAGCACAGGAAACATGGGGTTCCCACACGGGGGGGGTCGTCTACTCGTCTGTAGATGACCCGAGGTATGTCGTGGCAACAGGGACTTCCTTTCTAGGGTATACCTGGTTCCCCGGCTATTAGTACCCGAGACGGCGTGCGGTTTTAGTCGGTTCGAGTCCGACATGCCACCGAGGGGATTTCCGCACGAAAAAAAAAAAAAAAAAAGGGGCTATTCATATATCTTTAAGTATCCTCAACATCCTGCTTGTTTTCACTATCAGTCTTATAACGCAGTAAGTTGAATAAAATATAAAGAAGTTGCGAGCACATGTACAATAAAAAGGTCTACTGTTTGTGTTTGAACTATAAACGTACTTACATTTTAAAAGCAAGTTGTGTAACCTACATATTTTGTAAACACGCACGCATTTTTACGCTTCTGTTATGTGTTTAGTACGTAACTTAGCTTTTTTAATGATATCAAATTCTAAAACAAAATTTAAACTTTGAGCAAAGGGGCATGTCGCTTCGCCACCGAGACGAATTCGGCTGCCATTATTTCAATTCACGTAAACTTTATTTACTTGTTGCTATGTTTAGCGCCAATTCTAAAGAATTAGGATAATTTTTTTAAGTATTTTAAAAACCACTAGACTCTGTATCAAAAGCACAAATATCATCTTTTTAACCAGTAGTCAAATTAATTAGTGATAAATAACGAAAGTGAAAGTTAAAAGCACAAATGAATATCAAGAACATGAATATTAAATCGTCCTTTAACTCTAAAATATGGTATATTGCAGTGTTTGTAGTTATTTCCCAACAGACATAAAGCTTTTAGGCGAACAAAATTAAAAGGAACCTTGCCCACTAACCGTTCTAGTCTCCATTTGGGAATACGACGTGTCCAAATTGTCTCCATGCTAGTCATTTTCGTTGTCCAGTAGTTATGCGTATCTTCAAAGCTAATTGAGGGTTCTGTACAATCCGTGTTATTAAAATAATTAAGGTGTTTTTATGGTATATTTGATACCGAGAATTTTCATATCGTTTTCTATTGAAAGTGTACTTTTAATTTAAAACAAAAACCCTACTTTACAGAATAGGAGAGAATATTTTTTTTGTAAACCAGTTTTATTATTTTATTTTTACAAGGATATATCAAATTAATGACCATGTACAAATGGCGGCCTTATCGCTAAAAAGCAATTTCTTTAGATTTTTTAATTATGGATTTATAAAACGACTGTAGATAGACGAATTCGTGGGTAGTTTTAGTAGTTAAAAATGCAAAAGAAGCATGAAATATTTACAGCAAACAACATTTTATTTCGATGAAAAGCAAATAGCAAACGTTCTTATTTTAAATTACATTCACATCTTAGAATTATATCAGATTTTTAATGAAAATACTAATACACCTCAGAATTATAAAAGCGAATTCTATGTATAATGCTCTATGTTCCCATGTAATGCAAGATTATTTACAAACAACTTGCAAGAACCGTCAATTAAAATGTGCAACTTGATACCAGAAACCTCTACACTTCCAATAGCTGAGATGATCAAAACTTTAATTAATATTTTCAATAAAGTATATCTTACCTTTAAACTTATTTAATTGTGAACTAAGTTGCAATTGTTCATGGGTGGCGATAGTCGCTTACTAGCAGGTGACCCGTCTGCTCGTTTGCCCCCTATTTCATAAAAAAAAACTAGCGACTCGCCCCGGCTTCACACGGGTAGCAGAGCATTTTATGCCTGGTTTTTTTTTCTGTCGAAGGGACACATCATCTTCTTGGATTTGTCTATTTTACTCTAAACCTCCCAGGCGGCTTGAGGTTTTTCGACATGTTCTATAATTATCGTCATATCTCAACCAATTTACACAAAACTTTAATTTTTTTTACACTTGTACCTTTCTCATGAATCACTCTGTCTCTTGGTGAAAACCGCATTGAATTCCGTGCTGCACGTGTGAGTTTATAGCAAAAAACAGACGTGGCATAGGACTTTATAATAATGCATATAATTGGTAGCGACAAGAACAGCAAATGTTCAAAGAAATAGAACCTACGAATAAATAAATAAATGAGACAATAAATGATTAGTAGGTCTGAGTGTATAAGTACTTTATTCTAGAAATTTTATTTTTTAATTTTGATGAGTTTTTGATCTACTCTATCCACTTATAAAAACAATCTTGACAACTTTACAGCTAAGTGTTTTATCTAAATGGTTTAATGGTAAAATCGCGTTTCTATTAGTTTTTTGTTTAACCGATCTTCGGGTTTCTAGGGTTTTATAATCTTAACAAGGAACCCTAACCGATTCGGTATCGCTACGTAAAGTTAGGATATAAAAACTACAATGTTTAAAGTAATTAGAGGATGTTGCTACTTGTAAAAACAGGTAAAGAAATAAATTAAGGAATCCTACTTAATCTGAATCTTACGGTCTTATAATCAACTGTAGTTTAATGGCACAATTAAAGTACTCACCAGCGTTTTTTCCATTCTCATATTTAATTCTATACTATTTTCAAACCAGGTGCGCCAACAGCCCAGGCTCAAAGAGAATACAGAGAACACAGTCTGGACTTACTCCGTCTCCTCGCTGACAAACCATGGATCGGCCTCGGTCCGCACAACCGTTGGGACAGAGCACCGCGCATTGACTCGGAACTTAGCAATATTGGATATGAACCCCGTATACCTCACATGCACAACATTGACGAAAAAAATTATCTTGATGACGAAATAAGGTTAGTACTGGTCCAGGTAGTCTAGACCTAATTACAAGGATTATTCTGCGTGAAACAAGACTTTCTTTTAAATTGTACGTGAATATCTGAGGGTAAAAGATTTGGACTCTAACAATTCGTAACCCTATCCGTATACTCGGATATACATTTAGAACTATCCAGATCACTAGTAGTAGTACTCGTATGTAAGTACCAAGTGTAGTTAATAATCAAAAAATTAATAAATGACTGCGTCATATAACAGACACTCGTGAAAAGAAATCTTTTGAAAAAAAAAAACCTTCTTTTCAATAACTAGTGGTAATTTTCATTTTATCCTATGAAAACTTTCACGGGTCATCGCCTCATCCGAGTTCAAGGTGAAGTGATCCGTCACAAGGCTATTGCAAGGGAGTCGGGTATACCCTAGGAAGGAAGTCTTCGAAGTGAAATATACTACAGCATTGTGGATTCAATTAAAAACCATGAGAACAATAGCTTTGGAGGGAGACTTAATTGTTTTATATTAATAAACTAATTAATCTGAGAACGGTTATAATCAAGGATTCGAAGACGTAATCAAAATTATAAATCAATATAAGTTAGGTAAGTTTTTGTCAATAGTTGTGACAAAAACGTGACGTGACGTTTAAATGTTAGAACTATATTTATGAAGTATTTTAAAACCCCATCCTAATAAGGGACGAGTCTTTTTATATCTACTTGAATATTGACTTCTGTAATGTTTTTAGGGGCGGTTCTGAGAAGCGGTCAGCTGTTGCGACGGCGCTGAACTCGGGCCGCCGAAGAAGGCAACCGACACCGGCGATCGGTAAGGCAGTCACGCCATATGTCGGCGTTGGTAAGCAGCCGGTCGCACCGCTTTATACCATCAATGTTGTTCAGTTATTTTATATTTTGATGTCATTAGCCGCTTGGTTGTCTGCTGCTCAATGTCGGTTATAAAGCGACTGCACGGAGGGCGTAGTGGTTTAAGTGGTGCTAAGTGTTATGGGTTCGATCCCCACATGGAACAATACTTTGTGTGATCCACTATTGTTCTGAGAATATGAATTGTCGAGAAGAATTGCTTTCTACATCAGTTTCTTATGGTTACGATTGAGGTTCAGAACTGTCAATTCTTGGACAAATAGTAATGTTAAAAGCATTATTTTTTGGATATTTGAAAAATATCAATAAATTAGTTATACGTTTTAAAAAAATTACACAATCAACTATGACATTATATTTTTATGTTTATTAGCTTTGAACCATGGTTTATAGGTGCTCTCCCAACCCACGCAATCGACGAGGACCAAATCACCTTAATTTAACTCTTTCCTGTAATATATATAACTAGCTGACCCGCGCAACTTCGTCTGCGTCTCTCAATAGTAATAAATTTTCTCCGTTTTTGGAACATTCTTCATTGGTGCTCCGCTCCTATTGATCTTAGCATGATGATATATAGCCTATAGCCTTCCTCGATAAATGGGCTATCTAACACTGAAAGAATTTTTCAAATCGGACCAGTAGTTCCTGAGATTAGCGCGTTCAAACAAACAAACAAACAAACTCTTCAGCTTTATAATATTAGTAAAGTATAGATTTACAACAAAAATATATGCAAGCGCCTTTATAAAAACATCGTCAGTCATCGATGAACTTGCAAGTGAATTATCTGTTAGGCGCTTCTCTAAGTTTATTTTGCAGGCAATTCTTCATCTGGAATAAAGATAAACCTTACCCAAAAACTTAACTGTCTCAGACTTTATAAAGGTCCTGTAATACCTTTATATAACATATGGGCCTCAAACAAGTCACTATCTGTTTGTGATGATTACACAAATTAATATTCTGTTTTTAAATTTAATTATAGTACCTAAATAAAAAATAGAACCATCGAACATCCACAAATAAAATGAAATATGTGTTTCTGTAGATATCTTTACATTTATAATTCAATACGTATTGATCAAACGCTAATATCCTGATGAAAGCTGTCTGCTATTATCACCTCGCATGGTCTGAGGATAATCTTGTTGTAAACTCTTAAATACCGTATCTATTACATCGTAATGTAGTCATAGTTATCTCTTTCAGATAAAGGAGGAAGGCCCCCCTATAAATTCACAGCCTTTATTCCTCATTGACATTTCGGAGCGTAATTTTTCAAGCCCTTCTCAACTTTTATATGTTTTTCTATTTATGTGACAGCTTAGAACTCTGAACATTTCATTCATATTTATGAAGCTTGTAGTAGCGAGACTCGATGTGATTTATTATGCACTAGGAAAAACATTTTTGGAAAAACTTTTTAACCTTTTGCTTTTCAACTAATCTTTTCGTATGAATTCAAACTTTTTTAAACCGGTAACAGTCGGTAGAATCTCACTTATAATTTCATCATTCACCGTTTTTGGATGATACCTAACTTTTTTCAACAGTGTCCAAATTGCACTTTGATTAAACATCACTGAAATTTGTTAAAAGTAACTAATTAACTTAAAATAACTAGTTGAGGTTTTATTTAGAAAAATTTACTTACACTGTCGATACACTTCGCATATTGTCGATCAGCATTCATTACCGTGTATGTGAAATTAAGTTACTTTTTAAGAGAAATAATAAACCGATTTACTTCTAATTTACACATTATTACTTGGTAAAATATTGTTGTAAAACTGTGTATGCACTATCATAAAAGCGAGAAAAAAATATAGAATGTTCACATCCGCAGTAATTAACGAATGCCGGTCGACGATACCATATTTGCTTGTTGTTGCGTAAAATCTTTTATCTCGCTTTCCTGTAGTCTGTCAGAATAATTTCATGGCCTAAATTATAACAGAAAGCCTAGAAATCGTACTATACTCGTATTTGATTTTTATGCTAGGATTGTTTGTCAGATGGTATAGTGTGCTAAAATATTTAGTGCACAATACCAGTTTTAGACTAAAATTCCGTTTTTAACATTAAAACTCCGACAGGTGTCCTAACCGACATGGGCTCATTCTTCGACTCTCTGCGCGACAACCTTGAAACACTGGTGTCGCTTTCGCCACAGGAGCGCTCCACAATGTTTGCGGAACCGCCATCAGTCGTGAACGCACCTTCATCTAGTAAGTAGCTAGGGTCCAATTCATTTGTCTTTCACTTTCCACTACTTTTAAATATTATTTCACACACAGCATAATTCGTTTTCTCATATCAACAAAGAGATTTATCAGAGAGAGATGCTGCTAAAATAGTAGTAAAAATAGTATACATACAAATGAATAGAAAATGAAAAACAATATGTTAATTTAAATGGCTTATTGGTCTCATGGTTGGTGGTCCTCACTACAGAGCCAGAGATGGTGGTTTCGATTCCGGCCTAGGGAAATAATGAAAATAATGAGTTTGAACAAATGATCGTCATTTGATTCGTGGTTTGATGGATATCACACCCGATGCTTCATGGACTGCAGTCGCGTACCGTACTACACCTACCACACCCAAGGAAGTGCTTTTCAAATTCCACGCGAACGAAGTCGCGGGTACCAGCTAGTCGTAAATAATAATAATAATTAGATTTGTGAAAACTTGAATAGGTACTCAATTTATCGAAATATAGAAAGTAAGATAACCAATTATTTTCTACATTTGGTCCTATTTTAAACATAAATAATAAGAAATAAACAGTTAATAAGAAGTATTTTGGTCTGATCAATACAAATTAATAACCAACCCTTCTTACAGACTTTTGGAATGAAAATTATGTCACCTACAATTCTACAACCCTCCGAAATCAAAACTAACACGTGTAATTTTTTTGGTGCTTAAATAACTCATAAATAAGTAACAGGAAGTAAACTTTGAAGGACTTATATAACTCGGACATTTGTTGTGAACGTAATTCTCCCGGGTTGCATGTAGCGAGAGTTTAGACAAATCCCTCCCACACACCCACTACTGTAACTTCTATTAACCAGTATTAACAGCAGCAATCCACGAGCACACCGAGTTGTAACTCTCGTTAAATCCCAGGAAAAGTTAACCTGTCTGGGACCGCGACGAATTTGACGGCACGGAAGACTTACTATTTTAAGCTGTCGCCACGCCGCTTTCTACTACGTGTTGTGGGTTTGATCCCCACATGGGGCGACACTTTATGTGATCCACAAATTGTCGTTCTGAGTCTAGGTGTTCTTTGTGTCCTTTTCATGTATGTTTGTAAAGTCCCCCGCGACACAGGATATATTCCTAGTGCGGGAGTTGTCTTTTTAAAAAAAAGAGTGAGAGTGCACTTCCTTACTTAGCAAAACGAGAGGCAAAAAAAAAACAAAATAGACTGTCTACCCTATAAACAGCGAAGAACCACGGACACAAAAACATTATAGATCCTAAGTGCGGTAAGGTGCTAAGCGAATTTCTGTTTGATTTGATTGATGATTCTACCATGCATATTATAGGAATCTTATATAGTCTAGGTTGGCAGTTAATTATGAGAGTAAATACTTTCGTGCATAGTGGTTATGTTTATTAAAGACAAACGGTTCTACTCGTATGTATTTCGGAAATACACGAACATTTTCATTTCCGATGGGACCTTTCTTTCTTTCTGTTTCGTTGTTTGTGGAGCACTAATTCACACTATCGTATCTTAAGCATAAAAGATTAATACAATATTAAAGTGATAATAGTATTTTAGTTTAACTTTATAATTAGACAAATTATTAAGGTGAGTAAGTAGCATGTGAGGGAAAATATTCCAAGCTTTACATGGTATTTTATGTTAGAAATGAGTTAACATTTGTTGTTAGACCTCATGACACATCAGGTCCCACGTGTTCTAAATATAAAGCTAAATGTTAGCTGGATTAAAATGCAGCTATTAAGCTATAGACCTGGTAAAAGCTGAACCAATATTATTATTATCATAATAATAGGTGATTATTTATATATCTCGATAGTTTTCATATCGTGTTTCAAAGCAAAACCTCTAATCTAATACCTCCATCACTTTCTAATTCAATGGAAATTCTGTCATTACTGCAGAAGATATCATATTCGCGTAGATGATAACTACGATGTCACTACTAGAGTAGATTGAAAACAAGTGAATAACTTTAGTAATTAAACTTTGTCAATAGCGGACTATTTTTATCTTAACCTTTGGAAATGGCACCGAGATGAGAGGAGAGAGATACGTCATGTCTATTATCACAAAACTTATTCCATAGTTTTAATACGTTATAAATGGATGGTACTAACGTCAATTTCTGCATTCCTAGTTTCATCAAACCCTTTAACAGTCCACTGCTGGACATAGGGTTTCTGTCAAGTTGTCCTTCTCTTTGCAGTGCTGTTGTCCTGCGTAGTTTTCTACCTTAGTCGGCTCTTACGACACCCGCGGGTTGAATAGGGGTGGTGACACTCTGTATTCTTAATCCGTCACCATACGGATTCCTAGTCTATTTAAGGTATCAATCCTAATTTTAAAGGTTATCTACGTTTAGCGTTTATAGTGATTAAGTTACGTAAGCACTTCCGAAGTATTGAATGATTCTCGCCTTCATTGTCGATATAAAATCTATGTTTTTAATTTAAAATTATATTGATTAATCAAAATATTATTATATTACTTGAAATCTTAGAAACGGGAATCGAAAACTTTTTGTTATGCAATAACTCGGTGGCATATGATTTTTTTCTTAAATAAAAAGTCTGCACACAGCGATAGACTTATTGATAGCCATTTTGCATCTGAGTACTTAGTGTATTTAACAAATATGGCCCTTAAGTATAGTTTATGATAATTTTGTTAAACACAAAACATAACAGTTATATAAGAACAACATTATAAGAAAACAATAAAATACACACCATATATATAATTTGAGCATACTCGTACAAGTAAGTATTTCTATATTAAAGAAGGTTGAAATCAAAAACGCACCGTGCGTTAATTTGACCGAAAACGCCGTAAGGTTAAATTCCCTTTGAAATCGTATCTACTTATTCTTTTTTTTTTATTCCTGTATAAAAACTAATTACAGGATAAGTAGAGCAAAAAAAAAATCATCTTTAGACTAAGCTAATATTCAAAATACGAAGATTTCGCAGATCAGGACCTAAAAATTTTCTCTTTATGGCAAATGCTGCCAGAACTCTCCAGAAGATTCAAACAATGTATGTTCATAATATGGGTATTTTACCAAAGAACTCACTTATATAACTTAGCACTTTAAGATTTAATATTTCAGATTCTTGCCTACTATTCTCTCTTCTTTTCTCTTCATACTCTCCACACACATACCCAACACTATAGGATAGTTTTTACTTATTAGGAGAGGTACCTTTTTCATTATGATTTTATAAAAATATCTTAGTAATTTACACCCGGATACAGAACAAATGATCGTAATCATTACATAATTATTTATCATGGGTGGGAATCGAACCCACGACCTCTTGCTTGCTCCTCGAATAACAATATTGAAATGATATAAACATATTGCCGTACGTTTTAAAGAGAAAACTCCTGCTCTAGAAATATATATGTACTTTGTATCATAAATGCAGAACTTTTACTATTCCAACAGTTTTGTTATAAGCTTAGACAAGGACTAAAAGAGCTACTAACAACTAAAGAGATTAAACTAAATTATAACTTTGAATTTGCGGTGAAAACCTCCCTGGGTTGTGTAAGGAAATTGAACGAAAGAATTTATATATAAATTTATTATCAAAATAGCTGGTGCCCTGGTGTGCTGGTAACTTCATTCGTGTGGAATTTGAAAAGCGCTGCCTTTGTGGGTTCGATTCCAAGACCGGGAATTTTTTTATAGAGTTTTCTGAGAGAAGAAATAGCCTATAGAAGAGAATAGAATAAGAATACAGTAGTAAAATATTATCAAAATCGTTCCAGTCGTTTTGAAGGTTACCCGGAATAAACAGACAGACAGGAAAACAGACAGATATACAAGAAATAAATAAACTGGTTTTTAGGCATAGATATAGTGCAAATAACCGTTTGAGCATGAAAAAAACCTATTATTTTGACATTACAAACAGACACTTCAATTTTTATTTATTTGTATAGAAGATTATCAGCCGGCCGCCGGTTCGAACGTGACAACTGATACCACGGCCTCTAAAAAAAACAGTGTTTTTCACCGAGTAAGTGAGAATACCGAAGGCTAAACCCTCCTCTTCCCTTATTTTGAGGGGAGCAGGCAATGAAACGGGCGCAACACACTTGTGTTTCTTTAGTTGCATATGTGTGTGTGAAGCGTTTGCTTATTTGACCCCCCTATTACATAAAAAAGTATCCGTATGGTGACGGAAGAATAAACAGATAAACGGAATGTCACCACCCCTATTCATCCCGTGGGTGTCGTAAGAGGCGACTAAGGGAACAAACTGCACAGGATAACAGCACTGCAAAAAGAAGGAAAACTTAAAACAACCCCTATAGAAACCCGTCTGGCCAGCGTGGTATAGTAGGCCAAACCCTCCAGCCTCAAAGGCTGTTGATGATGCATACAAAAGTAATTAAACTGAAATCGAAAATACGAGCATACAGTATTTATAATAATAACCTCACACACCTCACACACGGCTGTCTTATCCCAAACTAGGCAGAACCTGTCTTGTGGTGAACAGACTTTTTTTATGTTAGAGGGGGCAGACGAGCAGACGGGTCACCTAATGAAAAGTGAAAATCGCCATCCATGAACGTCTGCAACTCAGGAGGCAAACGCGTTGCCGGCCTTTAATCTTTTATCTATTTTAAAAATACAACTCCCGTACTAGGAATATATTCTGTGTCGCAGGGGACTTTACAAACATACATGAAACGGACACAAAGAACACCCAGACTCAGAACGAAACGGCGTGGCGACCGCTTAAACCACTACATCCAGACTGCTAATAAACATGCTTATATATTTCTACTCGTGCGTTAATATTATAGGTCAATTACACCAAGACACGTAACAAACGATCGTGCTCATCACACAAATATTTGTCCTGGGTGGAAATTGAACCCACGAACTCCGGCTTAACAGTCAGGGTCAATAACCTCTAGACCAACAGGCCCGTCCCGTTATGCATTGGAAAAATACTTTGCTATTCT